GCGCACACACGTGTGCTACACGACAATAAAACAGACAGACCATGACCCGCGTCCGCTCTCCGAAGAGATACTGTCTGCTCAGGGCAGGGGTGTGTTCAGCAAGACAATCGCGGTTCCTCGTACGGGTGCACTATCCCGGACATACACCGGAACACCCCCACTAGGCAGACGGAATTACCCGCCTCCCACATACTATCCTCACATTCACTTTCACATGGGTCAAAGCCACTGGCACTCAAAGTTGTGCTGGTCAACACCGGTAGTGACTGCATCCCTTCAGTATCGGCCGGAACGAATGGCCCGAGCAGGAAAGCTTTCCTGCCGGGCCGTGGGAACGGCGGGATCTGTACAATGGGACTGCGATCATCCAGAAACACCTTCGCTCTCGATCTCGTAACCGCCACTTTAATCCAAAAAGCACATTGTCTCGTTTGGTTTCTCTGCGCATCGGTGCCAACACGATCAGTAGTCCGGACACTGAAGGCAACCAACCCCTTTTTCCATTTTTCATCCAAGAATGTGAGTTCTGGCCACTCAGTTTTTCGCCATACCACGTGCAGCTGCGAATAATCGGAATGGAGCAGTCTCGATACTCCATATGGTTGCCTGCTGCCGTCGAGCGTGCTGTTGTCGGAGACAGCCGCCAGCCGCCAGCCGGCACTCATGCAATCTTGCGAAGGGTGACCTCCTTCGATGGCATGTTGGCGGCGGAAACTCAGCATTGATGCCGCCGCAAGAAAGTGCGCATGCTCGTTGTACCCTTCATGAAGAGCACATGCGCCATGGCCACAGGCCATTTCCTGCTCCCAAAAACGTGCTCAATGGTTTACGTTGTTGTACAATCAACATCGGCTGTGTAAAAAGCCACTCATACTTCCCTGCTGCAAACCATGAAGTGGCGGATGTCAATCTTCGGGCATCGGAAGTTCGGGTCATGCTGGTTCCTCTGCTACAATCTCAACGCAACTGAAGATGAGTGTTCAAGCGAATTTTCATCGGCTCGACCAGCACTTGCTGCCTTCAAAAGACCTGAGTAAGCCCCTGAGATCTGTTCTGACTTTTCATTGTTGTAAGCCCGTTCCGTTCCGCGAGATCGGTTTTCAGGCTGCTTACTTCGAGAGCCATTCACAAAGGCTCCATTGATCTCATCCCTTGCGGGCGTTCCGTCACTGTCCGTGGTGGCCCAGCTTTCTCGCGCACAAGCCAGATCGACCCAGTCAGTCGGGATTCTTCTGGTGTTGGGATGCACTGAAAATCTGCTGCTCTGATGTTCCACATACGGCTCCCAATCTCACCCGCAGTCCCTGCATCAGCATTCCGTCCAGGCTGTGGCTCTGACGATGCAGTCGCAAAAACCGATGCAACAGTGGCGCTATCCCGGCATTCGGCCGTGTCCTCACTCTCATTCTCCTCCTCTGCATCTCAGTCTTAAGTCGAGCCTTCAATCAAGCATCCTGCAGCATTCCCGTCTGCCGCAACAAGGCACGACTGAATCCCAGCGTTGTGGATGTTGAGCTCTGAGCTCTTTTCACTGCGACCACTTATTGCCATGAGGGACATCACCCAAGCAGAGGCCAGGCGTGCCAGTCCGAACCCGGCCAGACGATCCGGCCAGTTCAGGTGCTGCCGTTTTCGCTGCGCAGATGTTCCGCACCAGCTGCAGCAGAGAAGTCGTGGTGGGCTTGTTGGGAACAGCCTTGGTAGGCACACCTACCGGCAGTGTTTTCAGATTGAGCTTTCTCACGTAGGCCTGGTCTGACACCCTCACGAGTTACCGTCGACTGCTCTCGTTGTCGGGCGGCCTATGTTTGCATGCACCAATGACTGCTTTGCCGAATGGACAGGCCGGTAGACAGACGAAAAGCAACAAGGTCAAACACAAGCATGCGTGCGCACACAAACAGAGAGAGACGGAGAGGGTCAGCCACAAACAGCTAAGCCACAGCCAACGGAAAGGAAGGTGCACGACCAAGTCTGGATGGGATATGTACCAAAAGTTGTTATAACCGCCAACATATTCATATCGCATTGCCAATGTCGTCATGCAGTCAGCCGAGTCACCTGCCCCGGCTTTGGCATCACGACAGGAAACCGTGCTCCCTCTTCGAATGCTTTTGAGCTGTTCTCCGGAGGCTTCAGCATCCTTGGCGCGGCGGACTTGCAGGTCAAAAAGAACTCCCGTGCGGGGGACACTGAAGGTGGGAGAGCTCGTCTTGACTCCGCAGGGACGCCTAGGCGGCTTGAATTCTGAAGGCTTAATTGTGTCGGCGCTCGGCATGGTCATGTCCTGCGACTATGGCCCGGCAACAGAATTAACAAAAACATTGTCGTCGCAAAGAGAGCAACATCCTACGTCCACGTCTCGCAGGCCGAGTTCTAGAGCAGGCCCAAAACGAGAACTTATCCTTCCTTGCCCTTAGCCTCGAACAGGTAAGGATCATCCGATCCAACCCAGGGAACTGGAGGCTCGTTAAAGCTCTGGGTCAAAGCTTGCAGAGCCGTGTCCAGACTCGACAACCTGACCAACCGTATTCCTTCTTGACTTGAGGTTGATGTACCGAACTGCTGTTGGTCTCACTAGTCTTGTACAGCAGATGGGTCAGCCGATTCGGTTTCAGCCAAGAGGCCCTCCAGCGGTCAGGACGTCCCGAAGTGGAACGTCGTATACGGGTTGAACGATGTCCTCTGTACCAACCGTGGCGATGGGAACGATGGTGTAGCCATGTCTAACCGCCATGCGGACAAACCCAAGAGTGCTTTCACCTTGGAGAGCCAAGTACAACAGTAAATGCTAGGCCAACTGGACCATCACTCTGGACATTCATTTGGTGTCAGTTCTTTCTGCGTATGAGCGAGAGAGACATCGCAGGATTAGAAGCAGGTGCAAGCAAGTAACCCCACAGAATGTCGTACGGCTTGTCTGTTGTTCTCTTCCACGCTTCGCGAGCGCCACCAGGATAGACCAGCAGGCAGCAGCCTTGATCCATCAACAGATCACCTCGCAGCAGGAATCGGGTCAGGCGACTCAACCTACTGTGTGACCAATGTGCTGTACACACGAACCAGGGTGAGTCGCCGAAAGAAGGCTGTCATTCTCACCCATCATTTTAAGGCACAAGCTGGCCTCACTGCTTCATCAAGCATGTGCTCGGGACAGATACAGCGAGCTCACCCACAAGCAACCATAACACATGAGACAGCCGAGCAAACGGGCAGAGGCACAGCTAATGCATTTCATTGGACTGGGCGGGGCGTGAGAACAGCACTGGGCTCGTTTGAGACCAGCAGCAGTTCCGACGCGTGCCGTCGACTGCGCCAATAGAATACATGAGCTCGCCAATGATCGGAACTGAAAACCATGCGTGTTCCCCGAGAGGTCGAGGCCAAATGTCGGCCCTCATGCTTGCAATGCGTCAGTCTGGCTGAGAAGAACATGTGCCTGTCTTAGCAGGACAATCCGCCGAGCGGCTCAGTGTATAGGCAGTAGATCAGGAGCGGCACCTTGTACGAGTGCACAGGCACACTCCTGGTATACAGAATGAAGACATCTTTCTGGACTCGAACAAGCCATGGATCACATCAGTATGCAGCTGTGAGGCATCGATGCCCAAGATAGCATGGTTCCCAACGAAGAGCAGGCGCTTTCTGTCTGACCCTAGCTCTTCCGCACCAAAGAGCTGAGGGGGACTCATCTTGCGCTGGGGCCAGAAAAGCGCTTTGAGCATCCTTTGCAATGCACTTCCCTTGGCCGGAGGTGCGAAGGCTAACAAGTCCCGATCCTGGGCAGACTCCTCCAGTGCGATGAAAGGTCTCGGATCGCCACGAATGAGCTCAAAGAGTCGGGCCGTGCAATATGTCAAGATTCCATTTAAGATGGCAAGCACTCGCCACCGGAGAATCTTTGTAGCATCCAGCGTCTCGGTCCTGTTAAAATGCTGGACTGCAGCACTTGCCATACCCACCAAACCAAGGCATATCAGCGGCGAAAGGCGCAAGTACAGCCGGAACAGGTTGGCACGAGATGCCCACTTCAGGAACAATACTTTGATGCCAAACCCGTATGATATGGGCATCGTGTACAGAACTAAAAGGCCGAGCTTGTAACCCAGGAACCCGACCAACAGCATGTCCATGTTCTTGTTAATGAGATGGAAGATGCGATCTCGACGGTTTTCTTCCGGATGCAAGCAGGGCTGGGAAGGTTGGGAAGGTTGGGAAGGTGCTTTCTCGGTCTCAGCCTGCGCCAAGTGCCGAGCCGGTTCCAGCGCAGTCATCGTCTCTTCCAAGGCCATCTCAAAGTCTCCCCTGTCTCCCTGCTGCCCTTTTCTGGATTTGAGCTGCCGCAGTCTGTCAAGAGTTCCAGCTGATGCATTTCGGATCATACTTGAACCTTTCGTTACAGCATCTGTGATTGCACGCTGGACTGCCTCCCTCGGTTGCCGGAAACCAAACAGCAGCAACAAAGCCCAAATCAAGCCACCTTGAACACCACTGGAATGCAACTTGTACACCCATCTTCGTAGATTGGATGCGCTGTGCTGCAGGATCCGTTGCTGGTCTTCGTGCGCAAAGAGGGTATCGTAAGTGACGGCCATGCTAGCTTCGTGGCTTCAATCAGGCTTCAATCGTTGGAGACTGACAGGTGACTGCAGACGCCACATTGGTTAAAGCTGCCGTGAGGCTGCACTTTCGGTACTGGCCACACAGCCCCTGCCAACAAAGCTGCCTAAAGACACTATCTGGCTCATGATGAACGGTATGGAGTTGTCATGCATACACTGTGACAGCGCAGGTCAAACTATCTTTGAACCACAGCGGCTTTGACATGCCCTGCCACGCGCCTGTCCACAACACCTTCTTGCAAAAACGGTGCCTGGGATCCGGGCATGCGGCTCTGTAGCGCCACCTCCCCGAGATCCTGAGAGGCAAAGCGTTGCAAAGCGAGGCAGGCATGAGAAAATATGTGCTCTGTGCCTTCGCCTCCCCAGATGCCAAAGCATGCTTGATAGTGGCCTCCGACCTTATGGCAAACTAGCAGGGATACCAAGATGTGTCAATGTGGGATGCGAAGCTCTGCACTACGGAACGAAACCGACGGGCTACAGAAAGTATCGGCACAAGGCTGCCTGCAGGCCCAGGCGTGGCGTGAAGCATGAACTGCTACAAACAAGACTTTCTACCCAAAACATCGCGAAACCCTGCCATGCTCTTTAAATCATATCACATTCAGATCATGCGACCGCTTCCCAAGCAAGGTCATGGAGGCACCGTGATCTCTTCAACACGCCTTTGCAAAGTGCCTGAGGCCCGAGCCGACCAAAGTTTTCACAAAGCGCTTTGATGATTATGGAGTCACCAACGCCCAGTTCTGCTGCCTCGTAATCCGGTGCAACCTGCGCCAGCTTCTGCAATCGTTAATGCACGGAGACAGTTGACACCGTAGAAGCTTGGACGACGTGCACGCCTTGTTGATGAGGATGTAAACTGTCGCAATGATATCCTCAAAATTCCAGACGACTGTGCGCACGACTAAATCAAGTTGGTGCAAAGCTTTTCATGGCTGCCCTGCTGCACACAGTGGTACCAGAAGCCCTGACCCGAGTGGCCCATCACCCTCCTGTGGCTGCACGTGCATCAGAAGCCGAAACAAGTTGCTCAGGATGACCTGAGATCAGAACAATAGATGGACTTGGCAAACCTTTTTCACCTCAAGCTCACCACCGTCATCGTCTTGCGCGAACCCTTCCCGCTTCCCTTTAGCTCCTCGACAAATAGCACAACTTGCTCACTTGCATGTCATGAAGCAGATGTCCTCTATCTCCAGCAAAGCTCCGGAAAGCAGGGACAAGCTGACCGGCTTTCCAACGGGGAACCTGCCATAACCCAAGCCGTGCCCGCTAAAACCTGTCGACCCGTGTCCAAAACATGTGTTGGGGACAGTGGGCGACCAAGCGAGACACACGAGGGGGCACTGTCAGGAACCCTGCATGCGTCAGCCATGCGGCGCTGCAGGGATGCGGCCGAACACGGGTCTTCCAAAAAGTTTGTAAGTTGGCCTGAGAGCGGTGCTCAACTAATTATTCTGGCAGTATGCGTTTGAAGTGGGAAAGATTGCACGCTGTGCATGCAGGACTGAAAATATCGCATTTCCAGTAATTCCAGCAAAGTCGCAAGACATGATGGAACTTGATAGAAGGGAGCATGAACCAGACCAGTGAGAGCAATGGGAAGAGTAAGGAAAGCAATTTGAATAATGCATCGTGCTAGCTAGCAACCATGCTGCCACTTGATGACAATGTCACAACGACTTTTCCCGAAACTAATACAAATAGCGACAGGAGCAGCAACTAACACGGACAATTACACAAGCATGCATGTGCACACAAGTCTGATGTACGTGCGAACTCCTTCCTTCCTCCCTTCCTTCTCCACCCACCCACCCGCTCACCCGCCTGCCCACCCGACCCACCCATCCAACTACCTCGGCCCCGCTTGCCCCCCCGCCCACGCGCCGACACACCCTCTCACCCACCCACGGACGGCCTGACTGACTGAATTGCTTGTTTCATTCATTTTGGCTTATTTATGTCGCGCTTACGCGCTTGCTTCGTTACTTTCTCGCTTCCTTACTTACTAGCTTCCTTACTTGCTTGCTTTCTTGCTTCTTCACCAACTTGCCGGTGAGCGAGCGAGCGTGCGTGCTGGTGTGCTTTGCTTGCCATGCTCGCTTGCTTGCTCGCGCGCTCGCTCGCTTGCTTTCGTTGCTTACTTACATGCTTCGTTGCTAGCTTATTGCCTCACTTGCTCTTACTTGCGGTCCGTACTTACTTGCGTGCTTGCTTTCCTCTTTTATCCGCTTGCTCGATTGATTACATGCTTACTTACTTGTTTGCTCGCTTTGTAGCATACCAACCAACCAACCAACCGACCAACCAACCGACCAACCAAGTAGCTGTCTAGCTAGCTAGCTTACCTTATTACTTAGCTACTTGGTTACTTGCTGCAATTACTTACAAACTGACTAACCAACAAACCAACCAACCAACACTCCCTGGCTTACTACCTCACTCAGTAACTCACTTTTGACTCACTAGCTGACTAATTCATTAACTAACTCACTAACTCACTAACTAACTCACTAACTAACTAACTAACTAACTAACTAACTAACTAACTAACTAACCAACTGCCAAATTAACTACCTACCTACTTACCCACCTACCTACCTACCTACCTACCTACCTACCTACCTACCTAGCTACACCTACCTGCCTACCTAGCTAACTTACTGGCTAACTACTGGTAGCTGCCAGAAACTGTAACTAGCTAGGAGTACTTTTTTGCTTGCATATTTCACTAATTACGCCGGCTTGCTTTATTCACTTGACTGCTTATATAGATATTTACGTATGTCTCCCTGAAGTAGCAGCAGACCTCACATCAATCCTGACAGTGAAAATTCCGCCAAACATGTTCCCACCGAGCAACAGCATGACGGGTTTCGAGTTTCCTAGAAGGTCGCACTTGCTGTGCTCGCTCCATCTCGCTCCGATGCACTGTGTCCCTGACATGTGCCCCAGCTTTCTCCGTGCCGCGCACCAACCTGTCCCCGACAGATGCGTGCCCCTCCGGGACCCTTGCGCGGCAGACTCGATTTTGCTCCAGCTTCATGCCCGCATAATTCATCACATGCTGGAGCAGCTCGTCTTCGCGAAGCTTCGGATCAAAAGCCGGAGATTGCAACTCCTCAAACCAAGAGCGCTTGAAGTCTCGATCAGCTTCAAACACCGCGGCCACGTCCTTCGCCTTCTTTCCAGCACCCCCGCTACCGTGCCAAAGCGACCACGGACCGGTTTCCTGGCTTTGATAGACGTGGCGACACGAGATGTCGGCTGGAAGATTCTTGAGGCGCCAGGACACTCTGCAAGGATTGAGGCAAGCACACCCTGGTGAGATGCCGTCACCTCTGGTAACTTCCTCGACACATCGAAGCACTGCGAGCTGACGGAATAAGTTGTCCGTTTGGGGCTCGGCTCAAGCACTTTGTCCGTCTCCTTCGACCTAAGGCAGGAACCGGTAACTCCTGGAGCTCTGGCAAGTCTGGGCTTCTGACTTGGTGGGAGTCGTCTGAGGCACTCCTTTTTCGAGCCGCCTCCGCCTCAGAGGCAAGCCACTGCATAATTGCAGAATATTGCAGCAACTGCATCTGTAACAACAGAGTGGGTAATGCAGGGAACGTGAAGCGGTGTTCAGGGCTCTGCTTGGCGGGGGCTTCTGGAGTGCCATCTGCCTCAGGCACCGGGCACAGCAGGAACTCAGCACCGCCTTGCCATGTTTGAAGCTGATGGGTGCGCAGCTTCTTCAGCAGGGGCTTGACTTTGCTTGCTGGCAGGGAATGCAGGATGGCATGAACTGGAGCATTCCATGCGGTACGCTCGAACTAAATCTCCCGGAAAGCTCATGCCTGGGTGGTGTTGTCAATGACTCAACTTTCTCCTGGCCACAGTCTTTGTCCCGGCATTACAAGTTCAGAACTACACTAGACTCAGGGGCAACGCCCCCAGCAACAAAATCCCAAAACATCAAGAACAAGTAAACCTCACGCCTTCCGCGCGAAGGCTGCTTCCAGACTCCCTTTTCTCGGTGCCATTTCCTGGGCGCAAACGACGTACTGACAGCAGACACCAGAGTGAGTTGTCGTGAAGTCTTCTGTTCAAGTCACTCCTTGCCTGTGCTGGTTTGCTGCCTGCAGTGCTTGGTGCTCCTGCGTCTCCGTGCTTTAAGCCTGAAGAACTGTGCTCCACAAAGCGACACAACCGTCCTTCCAGATTCTCGTGCAGACGGTGGCTTCTGATAGAAGCAGAGAAAGGTTGCATGCAACAGAAGGCAGCCAAGCAGCAAATCTCTGTGGCGCAAGCGCACGCCCAGATCAGACTATAAGCCAATGACTTCGGTGTGGGCGCATGACAGTTCTGTAGCCCAACACTGAAATACGCATGAAATGATGTCTTTTGCTGTCTACAGCTCGACTGGCACCATGATGCCTCGCAGCAGACTCCACACTCCAGCAAGGACGCCTGGGGCATGTCGATCACCTTGAAGTGAGCAGCTATAGATCCGCCTCTGAGCACAGGTCAAGCTGGTTTTTCAGAAGGGATTTGCGAGCATGAACTGCCGACCTTGCTTTGACGACGATACCTCGAACTCCATAAAGCCTTCCTCTTGCTCCTGGAAGCTCGTCCTTCCTTTGCAGAAACGCGAAGCCTAACACTTTCTGGATGACAGAAGGCCATACCTCGTGGCCAACATCTGGTCACCACGTCTTGATGCCAGCTGTTGCCGCCACGAGAAGTCGTTCTACTTGAACAGAATCTGTTCGTGTTGTGTTCGGCTGTACTGCGAAGCACTGCTCTGCACTTCTTGGGGTTTTGCAGCTGCCTTTGCGATCTTGACGGAGCTTGCTCGCAGAAACACTGAGGTGAGTGAGGTCAAAGACCAACGTGCCAAGCGGCCTAGTTTGTGCGGGTATCAGAGAAACCCTGTCTTGAACAGGCAACATAGGCAACGGCATGCAGCTTCAGCGAAAACGGCTAGCGGCTAGGTCGTCGATGCGGCCAACAGAAGTTGAAGTGCAAATCACGGATGTGCTTTTGGTCCGATGTCTTCAGCTGCGATGAGTCGTGAGAAAAACTACGTAGTCCCACGTCAGCTTTGCTCATCCTGTCTTACGCTGAGAGCATGACCTTATGACTCTGCCGTCTGTCTGAGAGGAGTCTGAGAATCTGAGACCAGCACAATACACTGACAGGTTGTCTGAGAAGTTCTTCCCTGTCTTTGGACAGATCGACGGATGCTCCTCATAGTCGTGCGGATTTCTATCAGGTGTCACGCATGACTCTGCTCGCCCTCTAGCGAGTGAGTAGACTCAGTAGACTCTCTCCCTCGCGGAGGAAGAATTCACAGGCTTACACGGAACATGTTCTCGAATTTCTATGCTAGGATCTGGGAAGCAGTTTGCCGACCTGAGATCATGGAACACAACTCTGGTCGGGGCAGCAGAACTATTATTGTCATTCCGACGTTGGGTAACAGGGGCTGACAACTGCCGCAGGTGTGTACGATACTGTCAGCACTGTGCTGTTCATGTTTCCGAGTGTGGCAAGATCGCTTTCTGGCACCGGTGGCTTCTCAAACGCGTGCTGTTTCCCGCTCTCTTCCGACCACACCGCAAAGACGCCACCGTCCACTCGTCAGTGATCTTCTGCCCATCCCCAGCCCAATCCTGCACCATCCTGCACCTAAGACCTGTCCTGGGATCTTGCACTGTTTCTTGCCAGAACTCCAAACCCCCGATCTTTGCTACAGCGAGAAAAACTTGCACTTATTGGTCCGAATATGAGAATATGAACTAGATTCGCAGGGGCACTTCAGCTCGGGCATGAAAAAGCTTCACCTTGACCCTTTTCTGCGATCCAGGTCTCAGGTCAGATCGGATCACCAAAACCCGTTCCGGACCACCAAAACGGATGCTTCAGGGGAGCACTGGGAGCGGCAACTTCGCATCTGATGCCTGAAGCACCAGGAACCAAGGACTTTTGATTGAGGTCTGTTCTGCAGCCAGGGCCAAGCGAGACAAACGGAAGCGAGATGCTTGCCCATAGAAGACCCCCCACTCCTCTCAATGGCCAATTTCAGGAGGTTTGCTAAGGGTGTCGCCCGAGGCGAGTGGAGCACATGTCGTCTCTTTGCATTTCTTACTCTTGGAAGTGGCGGGAGTAGCCTGCTGGACGGATGCCTGCAATGTGGGCGTCACAGGCAAAACAGGCCCAGCATGAAAACAAGAAGCATAGGAACTGCTCACCCGAGCTAACGCGGAAAAGACAATCACAACAACATTTCATTGGCAACACATCGAGCAAGATCGAAGGAGCATCTTCAACATCTCGTGCAGTAAATGCGGAAGCTGTTGATTTCTGAATGTGAGTTGTCAAAATATTTCAAGATCAACGCCCGTCCTTACACGTAAAGTGCACGCAGGTCTCGTTCGGGTAGGCAACGAAGGCTTTCCCGACAGAGTCCTGCAAGAAGCTCCCCACTGCCGCCAAAATACTCTTAATTAACCAGTAGCACGAGAGACAAACCAATGTGTGAGAGGTCCTTGTCGACAAAGCGCTTGTTGCAAACCGGACAGCATTTGTCGAGCGTGATGTTTACCTAGTCAGGTCAAACAGAGAGCTCGGCTTGACAAGTATATCCAAAGTTCCTGGCCTTTCTCATGCGTTCCTTGGCCCAAGCGCTGAAAGTCTTCAGGTAGGCCATGGAACTCAAGTTCTCTTCCAGCATGCCTCAATGTCCGATCATACACTGTAGATGTCTTCAATCTGCGTGCTAAGTGCATTCTTAGCCGGTGGCTAGCACGCTGCCTGTGCAAGCACAGTCGAGCGCATTTGCTGAGGTAGTCCGAGATGCCCTGCCAGGAAAGAAAGACATGCAAAAGTGGCGCATAGACAAGGCACTCGGGAACACCCGAGAAGCTGGTAACGCCTCAAGCGACCAATTCGCAGGCAAGCATCCCAACACCTGCTGCTACTGCTACGACCCACGAAGAGTCTGTTGCGTGCACACCTTCTCCTGGACTGCAAATGCTCGGCCTCGTTGGGTGGCAGGTCGCGGTGGGCAGCATATCCCATCAGCAAGGAAAGCACGGCATCACGGTACTCCGCTGCCACCTGCAGTCTTTATCTGCATCCCCAGGCAAGCCATAGACTTAGACTAAGGGCCCTCCTTCTTGTGTTCTTCTGGCTTTGCGGCTGCTCCCTCATGGGCCTCCAGCCTTTGCGCGGCTCTCGCTGACTCTGTCAGGCGATGTGACCGAGAACGTGCAGAAGGTGCGGTGCCAGTACCATCATCAGTTCAAGCTGGGCAACATGGGTAACATTGCCGATGAGTAGGTGGACTGTTTGTTACTCCCTGCTGTCCTAGACGGATTCTTGACACTTGATGGCTCCCGGACGCTCCCGAGACGAGACAAGCCTTTGACTGTTGCTTTTGCAAAAGTATTGGTGAAAGCTCTGTTGCGCGCTATGCGTGCCATCACACCACTCCACAACTCTGCAGTAGTTTGTATACACTACTACAGCCAAGCTTTCTCCACTGACGACATGAAACAAGTGTACTAAACCCATCCCACCTTGACTCCTGCACGCCTACCCCTGAGGGCCCTGAACGTCGAGCCCAACCCCCCAAGCAACGCGGTGATTTCAAGTTGTTAATTGAAACCATCTGTTCAAGATCAGCATTGCTTACACAGCTAGGCGCGGATTGCGCAGCAAAATTTACAGTTTGAAGTTTCTGCTGAAACAGCATACGAGAAAAGATCAGGCGCATCTCCATGAGCTCCCAAGAACACCTCCACCGATTCAGTAGCATAACTAAAGGACTATTTAGCGGTCGTTGTGCAGAGGCCGTCGACAGGTTGTCGTTTACCATTCAGATTCTAAGGCTAATACGGCTTATCGTAACATAGGAGAACAACATTATCTGCTTCCAATGCTGGAGATAGGATGTCGACTAGGCGATGCATCTATTTGGTGACTGCTGGTATTCTTCGTCAATCCTCGTTGCCGTCATCATCGTCATCATCATCATCATCAACATCCCATCGCCGCAGCCTGCCCCGTTCGGTGTCACACTAGTGTGTCACCGACCGCCGTTCAGCATCGCACGCGCGTCACAGCCAGCCCCGCTCACCTTCACGGCACGAACTTTCAGCCAGCCAGCCAGCCAGCCAGACAGGCAGACAATCGATCGAGACACCCTGAACTCAGCATTCCGGCCACGGCAGAGGCCCCAAAATCCGAGGTCGCTGACAAGATTTGCAGAAAGAGCATCAACGGACGCGCTCTTTCGGCATGGTCTCTCGCCTGGCTTGGGTTAAGTGATAAATACTTCGAAAGCTGCAACCGCCGCCAAATGCGGCAACTTTGAGGCAACTGCTGCAGATGTCGCATCCTGACCACAGCTTTTGTCAAAGGGCCCGGACGAAAGCGGATACTCAACTGTCGTCCTGGAAACCATCAAGGGCTTTGTCACCGGAGTTGGGCTTCTTTGGCCTGGCAGTTGTCAGGACGAGACGGCATCAAGGCGCTTGAACTCTCAAACTCGCCGGCAACGCCCAAACACCACCCCGCGGGCCCAACCCGGCAGATCGGCACTGAACACCGACACATCCTCTTACTATGGCTTTTGGCTGGGACTGTCCGACTTTTGCCACAGACAAACAGCAAGCGTGTTTGCATGGCTGTCCGTCGCTCCCGGCCGCTGCAGCTCCCTGAGAAGCCCAGGTAAAACAGACTGCGACGCCGCAACAGCTTCAAGTTTGCTAATGATTCGCTGCCCGGCACAAACTGAATACACGTGTCGCTGGGCTTGCACCTTGCCATTACCAGTCGGCAATAAGCTTCGGCGCGAGAGAGATCATTCAAGTCAAGGACGAGGATGTGCCTGGGACCAGAATGTGCGAGCTTACTCTGTCGCAGAGCACATTCACATCAGACATCAGTGCACCGTTGGCACCAAGTAGTAGCGTTCTGGCGCCTGCCCATTGCCCAAACTTCTGAGCTTGAGGGTCGCACAGAGCTTCTCGATGCCGACCCTCGCGTCCACAAAGGATTACTCGCTCCTTCACAATCCGGCATCTCCAGCCCTACCACGCACCGGAAACATGCCGCCCAAACAGCGTGGTTTAGTTGAAAGCTCTCTTACGTTACGAGTCAAGAGGTATTGATTAGGACGGGCGCGTGGCATGCCCGACAGGCGCACGCGGTGGTTTCGCGGCTACTGCTGTGGCGCGTTGCAAAATCCCGTTCTTTTCATTATCCCGCTGCAGCCGCGTCCTCCAGGAACGCCGAATTCAATTAAATGGACCAATTTGGATTCATGAATGGGGCTACTTGGGTCTCGGATCCAGTTGTTCAAACTTCGACAACTCCCGCCACAGCACTGCGAGTGTGTTTCGGGGTGCGGGGAGCCTCAGAGGCCGGACTGTTTTTCGGGACTAGTGCTACAAGGTACACGTTCGCTGAGGACCATAGTCGGGCTTCGTCAAATCCGTTAAACACTGTTCAACCCAGGTCTGACATGTGACGGTAGAACTTGTTCAGTAGGTGTCGGTAGCCTCCTACTTGAAAGGTCGACATGCCGGGCGGCACAGTGAGCACAAACTACACTGCACACTTCCGGCTGCAGTCTCTTGAGTTTGCATCTCTAGTATGCGTTCGTGGTCACCGTCGACTGGCGCACACTCGCACCGTCAAGCACGGGATCCGTACTACGTCAATGCGCGCACAGGCTGCAGCAGGCGTCCTCGTGCAATTGCAAAGCTGCGAGCTTGGGCAGCAGCTCTGCGTTGACCCCGGCAGCTTCCTCCAAGAACCTGCTCCCAGATCGCATACAATGCCGTGCCCAACTCTACCTGTCCACCTGACTAGTTGCCTATATTATGCATGCAAGCACATGTCATCTCCCTTTCAACACCGAGAAAAACCGGACTCGAAATTAAGTGCCAGAGTAAACGTCGTTGAAATTGTCTTGTGCTGCACGGCTTGGACGCGCCTGAAAAGCTTGGTTCTCGTCTGCGTCATGCGCTGTGCTCCAGGCAGGGAGAGCTCCTCAACTCAAACATGCTGTAAGAGTCACGAAACAACCGTAACGTACTAATGACGCAAGGGCTCCCCAAGTATAGACATTTATAGACGGCTATCGCGACAGCCGGAGATACCAGGGCCGAGTCACAAAGCGTCTCTTGAACTGCGAGCCAAAGCGCCTCCTCCACCTTGGCGACGTAGGCCATGCCCAGCTTCGCGCAGTGGCGCGGCGCGGCCTCCAAACTGAAAAACACCGCACTAAGACGAAGCAACGCGAAGCGCGGACTCTTGCACTCCTTTCGAGGAATTCGGCAAAAGCTAGCAGCTAGCAGCTAGTCCTTCAGGGATCTTCAAAGTAATAGTAAAGGGACGGATGAGCGACAAGGGGCACAGAGACTGCCACACAGAAAGCCGCCTCGCTGCTACGACTTATCCACTGCAGCACGCATGTCGAGAAAAGGAGAGGCTAGTTCGCCTGCACTCGGAATCGACTCATCAATACACGATTGACAGATGTCAACCCGGCAATTTCTCGCACCGCTGCCTCTTAAAACGGAGTTGGCATGTCATGCGCATGACTTCACAGCAGCTTGTGCAAGCATTAGAAGTATGGAGATTATGTCAGCTGCCAATGAGTGTGCTGGGAGGTGACCGGGACGTTTTCAACCGGAGGAAGTCGAACTCAGCTGAAGGTAGAGAAGATGCGAAACAGTTGAACTTGCAAGCTTCTGGTGATGCTGCCTGGGCAATTCAAATGACAGGTTCACTCATCCAACCCTCAAGTGGGATCGTAAAACAACCCCGTGCCTTGAGGTTTAGATTTGGCATGTCCCTTCTCGAACTCTGGCTACTTCCACGCTCAGTCAGGGTCTGGGACCCCATCCCTGCATGCAGACATCTTCATCACCGAAATCCGTGCGCATCCCTGCCCATGTTAAGGATGTTTCTTTACCGAAGGATTCCTTGAACGCATAGCCTTTCACGTGGACCAGGACATCGGCCACACCACAACAGCAAAGGGCGCAGTGCGGCGGGTCGGAAATTCAGTTGCTTGATGTTCACGAGTTCAGCCTACGGGCTGGGACTATCTGAGACAGCACAGCCTACGGGCTGGGACTATCTGAGACAACAGCCTTACCATGTAATGGTTTGGGCTAATCAACTTGTGGCCTAGGATGCAGGAGGTTGTGGATATTCTGAGGACGCAGTCCAACAGCGAGACTAGAAAATTGGAAAGTCGAAGAGTACAGCCTCAAGAAGCGACAAAGGAAACATGTTCGACAAGATCGAAGCGGAAGAAGCCCAAGGTGTATGCGAGAAGCACGAAACATGCTCAAAACAAGCTACAGAAAAAGCAAGAGCACAGCGAAGGGTGCCGTTCTCGGCGAAAGTGTTGCTTCTCAGGTGACATGAAAGATTCCAACCGCCAATACCAATGACCTAACATGTTGTCTTCTCCCAAGCAACTCATCATCCGAGGCGAGAGTGAAGAGGACGACAAGCACAACAAGTACAAGGTGGCCCTCGCTGTTGTAAATGTTTCGGCGTTCACATGCTCGCCGGATGTCCATTTCGCTGGGTGGTAAAAAGAGACCTATCTGACAGGGCCACCAGAACTAGAGAAGAGCTCTGTTTGCCACCTGAGATTCGAATCTGGATTATAGATTCTAGACCAGGTGTACCATCTGAGTCATCTGAGCTCTAGTGGGAGCGCACGGCTGGCGTCGTTTTCGATCCTCTGTCGAATCGTCTGCGGAGCCTGTTTGTTCACGACGAGATCCTCAAGGAAGGACAGCACGAGCGAGTCATGTCCTGATCGTTCTGCCCGAAAGTCCCGAAAGCGAAGTCTCTCAGGAAATATGAAGAAGGCCTTGAAGGAGCTGAAGGACTTCATCTGCTTCTAGCGGCATCTGTTCGGCAGGCTGGAGACGAGATGGGCAGAAGTTCTCAAACTCCGTAGAAGACAGATCGGATGCACTGCTCTGCAATGCCTCTCGCTCTCTGCTTGTTGTCACGAAAACCTGCAGCAGTCGCAAAGGAGTCTAAGCCTAGCCAGCACTTCAGTATGCTGTAAGGCTCCAGCTGGAAGAACAGCTTCAGCATCAATTGACAGCAGCTGTGGTACGTACCTGCGGATGCCAAAGCTTCACTGAATTCCTGCGGGAGCTGCAGTGCTCGCATGACTCGCATGCGAAAAGCAAAGGACTCAGGGGCACTCGCGAAGCAAGTCTGCTCCATTGGGAGCTCGTCGCGCACTCCTTCCAACAAACCGAGAGTGGGTGATGCGAGCAGTCAGCACACCGACTCCACATCGTCAAGTGGTTACTAGCCATGAGAAGCGCCTCAGTGCCTCCACCATCTGAGTAAGAGCGGCGTCTGCACGAGCATCCCTCCTTCATAATGGAGACAGCAGCAGCGCAACGGGAAGCGCTGCACCTTTGCTACGCGGCAGACCTTCCACTGGCCAACATCGCGCTTGTTTCGCGCAAAACAAGGTCGTACATGGAATGGGCCTGCAAAACAAATTCGACTGCATTCGAGATAGATACAAATGGCTCGCCGCTTTCAATTAGAGTCCGTTGCCTTCCACAAACGAGCCAGTACATCCTCGGTTGCAAAGCATGGATGCTTTGACGGTCAGACACGCATTGACAGAACCACACAGAACCCTGCTTGACTTGATCGAGTTGCCACTCTGCCACGTTCTCGCAGAAAACCTGCCCACAAAAGGAAGTACAGAAAATTGGTGCCCGTCAATGACTCCATGACTGCATACATTGACAAAGCTGTGCTGGGCGACGGGAGCCAAATAGGTGCTTTGGTATTATGGTAAGCTGACTTGTAATCCTTTCTGACCTGACCTGGCCATCGCTTCGGTCAAGAGGAACATCGGCGCTTGTGAGGCCGTGGCATATGCTTGGCTTGCCCCGCTCGAAACCGAAAACAACAACACAATCCACGTCTGTGCCGCATCCTTCGGCCTTCGAAGGTAGTGGTCATGATGTTCTCGGATGATAAGAACAGTACGAACCATGATGATCAAATGACAGAGATAAGACACGAACGATAGTGGAGAATCTCGATCAGAGTGGCCTCGCCGAAGCGAGCCGAGCTTTCTCTTTCATGTCCGCGAACCTCTCCCCTCTCTTAATCCCCTCCCCACTAGCCCTCCCGTTNNCCCCCCCCCCCCCCTCCCATTTTTTGGGATCCAAGCCACAACAACAAAAGATTCTGGTTTGGGCATTTCGGGCCCCCCCAACCTGCTGGTTAGCTGATGTGACTGATGTGCAGACAACCTCCACGACACGAATCGCTTACAATAACGACAGCGATGATAGTCAATCATACGACGACAACGCGCGACTGCACAACAAACGTGAAGAATAATCCAGCGAATTCGAGAATTGTGGGACATCCACTTCTTCCTAAAATGTGGCCAAAGAAAGTGACAAATGTGATGCGAGTGGCTTTCGGACTCACGTTGCGCATGAGCTGCCAGTGGATTTCGGGAATGCTCTCGCTGCATGTGCAAGTGGCCGGCAGCCGCCAAGATGCTCCGATGGCATCTGCTGTGCGAGGAGTATTCACTGACAATAGAAAGCAGAACACAATTGCACTGGGTGTTTCGTCATGCGTGAATCAGCTCGCTAGAAACCGCATGGTTCTCCAATCCACGCTTCTTTCGACTCGACTTTGGGCAGGTGTTGTGCAGTCGAAGGGCTAGCCTGGGTTTTGGTAAATGCCATCCGCGAGAATCTTGCGAAACGAACTGCATCATTTCTGAGGCGACTTTCCTGAAGGACTTCGCGCTGAAACACTGGGCCTACTTCCGAAACAGGCAGGAAGTGTAGCATTGAACGGCAGCATCTAGTTTGGACATCAAGGGTTCGAGGGGACAGGGGCGGCGCTTTTCAACAAAGCAGCACGTCTGCGGTGTTGCAGCATCAGTGCTGGTCGAAGGGAAAGCAATCAGTGCTACTCGAAGGGAAAGCAACGCGAGGAGACGCGAAGCAAGCGTCCAGCCTTCGCAATCCTCGACCCTGCATCTAACACCACCCTCCAGAACTTCAGTCAGTCGAACGTCGTCCTGCGCGGATTGGAGATTGGAAAAGCATGAGGCATGAGGGGTGTGACAGATGGCAGGCCGCAGTCCTCGTCTGCTTCCAGCAGTAGTTTCAACAACCTCACGCAGCAGGTGGCCGAAGGAAAACGATCTTTCTTTTCTCGTCGATGTAAAGGATGACGAAATCTGGGGATGGTGGACACGACAAAGCCGACACCGACTGAGAACCAAAACGGTACGACGACAGGACCCTTCCTTTTTGGATGGTATGAAGCGCCTCTCGCGCCGGGTCCGTCGCATTCGCCAGAGCAGGGCTGTACGGCGCCGGGGACGCATTCCGCATCCCGGCCCGAGCGACGACCGCCCGTCCAAATAAATAGATGGGAGGAGAGGGTGGGAGCTGAAAGTCAGGTGGCACGACGTCGAACCCACAAATGCTGCGGCATCGACGTCTGCGCCGGCTATGTCCCTATGCACACAGGTGTGCTTCACGACAAAGCCGACACCGACTGAGAACCAAAACGGTACGACGACAGGACCCTTCCTTTTTGGATGGTATGAAGCGCCTCTCGCGCCGGGTCCGTCGCATTCGCCAGAGCAGGGCTGTACGGCGCCGGGGACGCATTCCGCATCCCGCCCGGCGCTCCCCACTCCCACTCTGCGCCGGCAGCCCTAGCCCCCTCAGATCGCCAGTTCCAGCAGCTGGCCGGCGGCGACGTCCACCGCGAAGTGCAGGTTCTGGGCCGCCTTCGCCAGTACCTCGAGGATGGCCGGCATGGGTGTGTTCACCCGTGTCCAGCCCATGGCGTGCGCCATCGCCAGGTCGCCTCTGGAGACGGAGTCGGAGACATTGGCTTTCGACGGCACCCGCCGGAAGTCGGGTAGCCAGTCGGCCGACGCCGCAGTGGACCAAAAGGCAGCGAGGACGCCGTTCACCGTGGGGTCTTTCCCGCACCCCTTGGTGAGCACCCACTGGCCGGCGACGTTGTCGATAAACGCCAGCCACCTCTGTGGAAGGCGCCGCGCCAGCGTCACCAGCGCCAGGATCTGCGCCAGGATGTCGAGGACATAAAAATGAATGCCTTGCGCGCCGCAAAGAGCTCGAGGAAGTAGGTCGGGGCGACGCCGTGGTCATAGAAGACGTGGGCGCCGATCCGGACGACGTAGCCCCAGCCATTCATCCCCTTCGTGCCCGGGCGGATGTTGACCGTCGCCGGGATGTGGCCAGCCTTGTGCCTGATCTCGCCGGCTGGAGAAGGCGTCTGCGTAGATGATGGCCGCCGGGGCGCCATCGTCGGTGAAGGGGCTGACCTTCGGCTGGATCGTCGCCAGCAACGCCCTGAATGACGTCAAGTCAAGGCCGCCCGAAGGCCCACCGACAGCCTTGTGTCGGAGGCCGCGGCCGCGTCGTGCGCCCGGGCGTAAACCGGCTGAAGCGCCGCCTTCCCGACGGCCCCGAAGGTGGACTGAGTGACGAAGTTGACCTTGCCGGCCAGGCTCGCCACGTCGGGCGCGAGGTCGTCGTGGTCAAGTGCCCGACCGATTGCCGCCACGATCTTCTTGATCCGCGCCGGAGTGGGCTGGAGGACCACCCCGTCGCGCCGGATCGACACCAGCACTCCCTGGATGATGTGCTCCTTGGCCGGCTTCTGCGCCTTGGACGGCTTGGTCTGGAGGCCGAGCTGCGCCAGGAACTCGGCCACGCCTTCAAAGGCGCCGCCCGCCAGCTCGTCGACGTCGACGCCGTTGAAGTCGTCGACGAAGTGGCCGGAGACGACCCAAAGGAGCACGCGCTTCAGCGCCTGCAGTGCGTCGGCCGTCCGGTTGAAGTTCCAGACCGACGCCGCCGCACCGAAACACATCGCCATGTGAAACCACACGGTGACCCCCTCCGGCGCCGGCAGGAACGTGCCAGAGTGCGCCGGGTGCTTCACCGTAGGCGTTGAGGAGGTCGTGGCCATAGACCCTCAACGCCTCCGCCTGGGCCGGTCCAACCATCTCGACCACCCGACGAATGATGTCGACGTAGTCGTCAACGAAGTGGTGGCCTCTGCGGATCTTGGTGTCGCCGTTCTCGTCCTCCTGCAGGATGGGCAAGGACGCTGCGACGAAGTGCCGGCCGGGCGGCGGCGGCGGCACCAGGCGGTCTGCGCCGGCCATGTGGTGCAGGGCCGTGGTGGGAAAAACCCAGCCGGTCGGCGGTCTCGTCGGCCGACGACTCTGCCGAGCTTGGCTTCATCCACCAACTCCGCCAGCAGCTTGGCGGCGTGCTCGCCGGTTCGTGGCCGGGACGTTAACCTGTCCTTGACGTAGCGCCAGTTCACAGCCGCCAAGGTGTCCAAGGAAGCCGACGAATCGCGGCCAGGTCCACGACGGAGCTCCCCGAGCATGTCGAGGCCGTCGGTCAGACCCTCCGAGATGCCGGCATGTCCGGGTAGCCGACGGTTGTTAGGAGGTCGAGGATGACCGGGATTTGGGTGTGCCTGGCCTTGCCGGGGACCATAGGTGGCTCTGACAGACGCCGGGCGCGCTTGCGGCCAGCTCGGCCAGCACGTCGGCACGTACGCGCCGAACATCGCGGCGCCATACCGCCCAAAGTTGGAGCACGCTCCAGCTCCAGGGCCGGCTCCAGCAACGGCCGGCGCGTCACCGTGCAATGTTTCAGCTGCGCCGGGAGTTCCCAATGCCGGCCCGGGTCGTCCTCCGGCAGCTCCAGCTCCGGTCGGAGCGTCCCGACCCTGGCCGTTCCGGCGCCGATCCTTGTCATCCTGCCGGGCCTGTCCTCGCCACGGCTGCTGCGACCACTGCTAGCCTTAAGTCACGACGGTCGTCGTCGCCGCGGCCCCCCGTGCCAGCGGTTCCGATGGTCCTGCCAGCCGCCCTCGGCTTCTTGATCGCGGCCGCCTGTGGCGCACTGCTTCTTGCCGGGCCGGCGCCGGCCCCGGCCCCGGCCCCGGCCCCGGCCCCGGCCTCGGCCCTTCTCGGGCTGGTCCGCATTACCGCCGGTCTCGCCGGTTGGCGCCGGTTTTTGGGCGCCGCCGGCCTGGCCTATAGCCCATGGCCTCGTTGAACGCCAGGCGATCGTCCATGATCGCCTGGGACGCCTCGTCGAAGGACCAGCCGAGGCGCATCTCGGACGCCAGCTTGTGGGACGCCGCGTCCCAGTAATCGACGACGGCGTCGAGCTGGTGCGACCTCAGCCGGGCCTTGTTGATCCACCAGTCGACGTAGGCGACGACGGCTTTCTCGGCGCCTACGTCGAATCCAGGCCCATTTGATCGCCGTGACCCCGTCGACGACGGCCCAGGTGCCCTTGGAAAACCATGGGCTGCTCCGGCTCGACGGTGAAGTTGCCGTCGACGAACCTGATCTGGTGCTGCGCCGAGCCGGCGCTGCGCTTGGCCGCCAGCGGGTTCACCGTCTTCAGCGCCGAGAACGTCCTCTTGGACAAAATCTCGCCGAGCCCGACGGCGGTATAGAGTTTGTCCCGGGTGTGCTCCCAGTACATGCGCGCCAGGACTTCCTCAGCGCCGAGTGGGGCCGGCGTGTCGGCGCGTGCTTAGCCGACGGAAGCACCGGAGGCACCCTTTCGCCCTGCCCACATGCGCAGATGACCTGCAGCTCCGAGCACGACGAACCCTGGAGCAAGCTTTGGGTGGGCCAGAGCTTGCTCGAGGGTTCGTCGATGTCGGCTGGTGCATATGCAGGAACGGACCGGATGCAGAAGACAGCATCGACCAGCGACGTCAGGTTCATGGTGCCATTAACCTGACGTCGCTGCTCGATGTAGCTCAGAAGCGATGTGCAATCCGCAGCAGCAAGAGTCGCTCCACTGAAGCCGTCGGCTGGTGGATTTTTGGGCCGGGCCTCGCAGCCGGAGGAGGCCGCCGCCTTTTTGGGCTGAGAGGCCCGGCCCAGAACTCGACTCGTGCAATGCAGCTCAGAAGCGAAAGGCGAGGCACAATGTGCCTCGATTTCCTTTCGCTTCTGAGCTGCACGATGTACATATTTCAGGGCTGTGTGGCCCGTTGTGGATATGCATCTGGAGAATGGATCAGGAACTGTGGAGAATGGATCAGGAAGCGAAGACACTTGATTTTGGCCGCTGTGTGTAATTCAATTGTACATATTTCAGGGCTGGATGGCCCATTGTGGATATGCATCTGGAATGGCACAGAGAAAGCGAAGACAGATCCCAGAGCCGTTGGAAAAAAGAGACTTTGCGTGTGTGTGTGTGTGTGTGTGTGTGTGTGTGTGTGTGTGTGTGTGCGCATGTGTTTCGTGTGTGTGAGGTTTCGCAGATGAAAGGGCTGGAGGGCCCCGGATATATGTACATATACACATCACATTGTATACATTTCACACCAGCCCACTACCCACACTTCGCCGGCAAGGCGTTCGGGCACCCTCATGCCTCGAATACCCGCCGGCAACGAGCGGAGGAAGTAGAACGACGCCGCCTCCGACGTCGGCATGAGGCCGCCTTCGCCGGCCGCCGCTCTGTCCTCCAAATCCTGCAGCTGACGGAGGTTGGCCACCGCCCGCCTGCAACGCCGGGTCCTGGATGGCCTCGTCCGTGCCGGCGCCGGGCTGTTCCATGCAGTGGACGTGCCGACGCCACTCGGCGCTGCACAGGGCACGCCGGTCTTCCACAATCCGCCGATACTCGGCGTCCGCCGTATCGATCTCGTGGTTGGGAGCATCCCGCCGAGGCTTGGGCGGCAAAAGCGGACTTCGCCAGTGACGGGGTCCGCATTTGGGTACCGGATCCTCGTCGGCGCCTGCTGCACTGGAGGAAACGCCGATCCGCCGGCGGGAGGCTGCCGGGGCCGGTCCTGCGAGCCGGAGGTAGATGTGCTCCGCCGGGCAGCCTCCGCCTGTGCTCCTTCGCGGATCTCGCCGGCGATCTGCGCCTGGAGGTCGGCCATGCGTTGATCGGCTGCACGACGGTCCGCCTCGGACAAGTAGCCGATGAGGCCGCCAGTGGAAGCCGGGCTCGCCGGCACCGATCGCTGTTGTCTGCCGGCCGCCGAGCGCGCCCAGTAAAACGCCGCGGCAGTGGTGTAGCCGACCTGCTGCGCCAGCACGGCGTCGGCCTCCGACTCAAAGCCCATCCTCTGCCACAGCGCCGGCGGTGGAGACTTGCCCAAGACTTCACGAGGCGCGCCGGCGCCAGATCCGCCAGCAATGCCAGCACAGGCTCCACTCGTCTCGCCGGCCACAGGCGGCTCAGGTGCTGGCTGGGTCACCGTGGTGCCCGCCGAGGAAGTGCGCGGCGCCGCCGGCGGCAGAACCGGCGGCTGTTTAGCCGGCGCCTTCGCCGGGACCGCCTTGGCCTTAGCTTCAGCGACGGCCGCCTCGGCGCCGCCAATGGCCAGCTGCAAGGTTCGACGTTCGAGTGGGGTCCATCCGCCGAAATGGATCCCCACGTCGACGCCACCCGACACGGCAGCGCGGAGAACCGCCACCGCCGAAGAGATCTCCGCCTGCGAGAACGACGTCATAGCGGCGACGAAGGAGCTAGCGGAAAAGCTGAAAGTCAGGTGGCGCGACGTCGAACCGACAAATGCTGCGGCATCGACGTCTGCGCCGCTATGTCCCTATGCACACAGGTGTGCTTCACTACAATCAGCTGTACTCAGGCGCAAGCAAGGTGTCCATCGCACGCAACAAGGAAGCCGGGGATGTGGCACCCTGTCATGAGCGCATGCCTTGCTGCACAATTTCCACAAAATGCGGAAACTGCAGGTTCCTGTGTCCTTTGTTCTTGGGGTAGGCGTTCCTGTGAATAGGAACCGCTCTCTGAGCCGGCAGGTGCCAAGACAGAGCGACCGCGACCAGACCAGCCTGGCCCAGGATGGCTTCGCGCTGCTTCAGCAAAAAGGACACCGCGGCCTCAGAAACGGAGCTTTTCAGTGGCATTAAACGACGCTCACGCGCTCGCTTGAACGGATCTCTCTCGCTCCCCATTTGTTCAGTTCCTGCAAGGCGTTCCCGAATTGGCTCACAAATGAGACTTGGCTTTGGAAGCTCGGGGTGATGTGACGAGAACACTAACGTCTTGGAGTGCTTCGTGTTGGTCATAAGTCTCTCGTCACAGCACGCTTCCGACTGAGTTTGGTGGAATGGCCGGCGGCCTCCACGGAATCCCGTAGAAATATGCTGCAGGCCTAGACTGACAGATAGACGAACATTGCACACACCGCTTCGGGTGTACGCCAGAGAGCTGACCAAGGTCTTGAAGTCCTGGTTGTTGAAACGGCAAAGCAAGATGAGCAAAGAAGATATGGCGGACGCCCTGATCAAGCCTGGGCCTGGGCTAATACTTTGCAGATGCAGACTAGACATGACTACAAGCACCGTGGCCAAACTGGTAGTGTCCTGAATATCAGGACGGAGGAACGCTTTATGGTGGACATGCCAGGTGAGAGCGCTCCTGTCCATGGATATTGCTTATGTGCAAGGATCCGGGTGCCCCGGAGGATGGTCTTGGCAGCCGGTTGCAACCTTCTCTTTCAATAAGAGGCAAGGGTCGCAGCGCCTCATGACACAAGGTAGTTGCTACATGTTGCTACAACTTGACCTGTGCTCGTCATTGCTCGTCACTGAGGAGAGGGGTCACATCGCAAGGCCGCGAACCATATCTCAGGCCTCTTAGGTTGCAAAGAACCCCTGTGCAAGATGACTGGCACGCGCAGTTTATGTTGAATTGTGAACATCGGGACTGTCGCGTGAGTGCTTGCACAAGGCTTTTTATCTAGCCTGAATTCGTGCCAGTTCTATGGCTGCCACATCAATGGACGAAAAAAGTGCCGACCTTCGTCGATGGTTCAACGCAAAGTGAAAGAGTTGGAGCACCGTCTCCTTGGACGGCCAGCCCTCTCACGGGCTTACCCCGGGTGGTCCTGTCACACAAGACAAGCGAGATGGAGTACCAGAACGGCAGCAACACCAAGACGAACAAAGTCATCCCTGGCGAATATGGTGTGCCTCCTGAACCTTTCATCATGGCCATGAACTCCTCAAAGTCTATGATGCCATCACCATTGCCTCTGAATGCATCAGCTGGCACAAGCAACTCCCTTGTTCACAGCCCGAACTGCTTCGGCACTGCGTGCCGGCGAATTCGGTTGCGAAGAGTGTTTAAAGCTGCTGCCAAGCAGCTGTCTACCTCCAACATCAATTCAGCAATGGCTTTGGCGCCCAATGCATCCTCTACTTCGCTGTTGCTGAGCACCTGCAAGGCTAGGCTGCATGTGAGCAGTGTCGAGCCGTGCGTTACAGGCTTACAGTCAGATCTCCGAGATGGCCCTGGATGGCTCTAACAAACTCTTGCAGCCCCAACAATTCCGGCGCAGCAACGCCACGAGGTGCGTGATCCAATGCCTGCTTGAGCTCATCTTTGGAGATATGCCCATCTCCATTTCTGTCGAACACCCGGAAAGCTGCCCAGCACACGTCCTCCTTCATGTACTGTTGCCTGGCGACGGTGGCAAGTATGTTACTGGCCCAACATGTGAAGAGACTTGAAAGAGAGCAGGACTGTAATACACGCATTTCGACTGCCTATCAAGCGTTGCTGCTAGGAACTCTGTGTAGTCAATGACACCGCTTCCATCAGCATCAACACCTTGCCCCGGCGGTTGCTAGACAGGCCGTCACGTGCACCGGGAAAAGGGTTTGCAAGAAACATTGCAGCTGAGCTGACCATCGAGAATAGCCGCAAGGTCCGGAGGTATGTCTTTGAGGCCGGATTTTCCCAAGCCATCCTTCAATTCTGCATGCCTTGGTCAATAAGCAAAAGAAATCGAGGCCTTCTGCACCAACCCTAAGGCCTCAGGACGCACAGCTCGCCGAGCCACGTCAAAAGCCCGTCACCATTCTTGTCCAAGCTCGTGAAGACATCTCGAAGGCTCTTAATCTGATCCTGTCCACCAACGGCTGCCAGGTGCTAGGCATTGGTTTGTACACACTGCACGACCTTGACGCAAACACCACAAAGAGGCAAACTCCTGCCCTGCAGAGTGTCTCTGTGTGGGTGTGTGTATGTTTCAGTGGCTCCTCGTTGAGCTGCCCAGCAATGATGTGTAAAGCTGCCTGTCATCTCAGACACGGCTACGGACAAGTCTGGACGCAGCTGCCAAGCCTTCCACCTGTCCCACATCTACTAAGTCCACAACATCGACATGAACAAAAAGCATAAGTAAAGCGAGCTGGAATTCGCAACAACCAACTCGACAACGACAACAACAACAACAGTAGCAACAGCAACAGCAACAACAACAACAGCAGCAGCAACAACAACAGCAGCAACAACAGCAGCAATAACAGCAGCAACAACAACAGCAACAGCAACAGCAACAGCAACAGCAACAACAACAACAACAACGACATCAACGACAACAACGACAACACCGCCACCACCACCAACTCCACCACCACCACCACCACCACCACCACCACCAACAACAACAACAACAACAACAACAAGACAACAACAACAACAACAACAACAACAACAACACCACCAGCAGCAGC